TAATACATATTTATGGTCATGTAAAAAGGATCATCAATGGGAGGCGCCATATAAAAAAATGAAACAGAATTACAGATAGTGTAATATTTGTCCCAATATACTGGAAAGAATATGCCAGTATATATTCAAAGATTTATTAAATAAAAAATTTCCTCTCTGGAAACCTAAATTCTTGAAGGGATTACATTTAGATGGATATAATGAAGAGCTAGGCTTGGCCTTCGAATATAGTGACAATCAACATTATCAAATCATCTCTTTTTTTCACCCACAAGGCAGATGAATCTAAACGCACAAATTTGGCGTGATTGAGAAAAGAAGGCGTTATGCTATTGGGAAGGAGTAATCCTTATTACAATCCTCTACTGCGTAGTAGACTTAGAAACTTTTATAAGGAGTGCCTTGTATGCATTCGGTTATCTCCCAATACCCACCTAGAAGGTAATATGGGCTCTTCCTTAATATGCATTAATTGTTTTTTTACAAAGGGACGCTGAGGTCCTGATTCGTCTAAATAATACAAAACAGGCATTGGAGGATTCTTTCTAACAACAATTCTCTGGATCTTATGTAGGCTAGAAGACCATATCAGATCTGTTATTCTGCGTCTTTTGAATGAATCATTTTCCCATTCTCCAGGAGCAAGCAAGAATCAGACAGTAATACTCTTTGGTAGTTGTGGTTCATTAATACCTATTGGGTGATTATATTTTACCGATGGTTTAGAATATATCCGCTCAAGTTTTATAGCATCATTAGGACTCATCCCAATTAATCGAGTTGGGCTATCATTCATATTATCAACAATTTTTTTTGTAAACTGCTCACATTCTCTACAGCGCTTGCCAATAGGCAGGAGAAACTCTACTGAATACTGATTTTTAAAAACTCTTCTAGAAAAATGTCTGGCATAATTGTCAAGAATAGCCAAGCTTATATGTCTGAAACGTGCTATAATCCTTCAGATTTCAACACTGTGTTCATCCATTAATAAAGTCACAAATCCCATAAACTCAGTGCCTTTATTACATTGTAATTTTCGAGGCCAGTTGAGAGGCTTATTGGGATTATCATATATACTCTTAAATGCTTCTGCAACTTCTTCACTGCTCTTTGATGTTAAAAAAATGAAATCTTTATATCTAGTCGCGCAGTCTATAACCAATAGTATATAGTAATATATTGGAGGGCCACCGCCATCATCTAGTAAATTTGTATCTACATCTTCATCATATAGTATTTTGATTAAATTACATTGGTACACAGTATTTGGCTTCGTGATTTTAGAGTAACTGGCATAAGGTATATCCTTTGGTGAAGGATGAAAAATTTGATACATTGTTTGACTCTCAAGCCATTTTTTTACATCAATAAATGGAAAGCTGTAGTCGGCTTTTTTACAAGCATCCCATAATCCCTTAATATTTTGATACAGACCTTCAGGATGATAATATAGTTTTTGCAAGGCAAGATGCTGGTCTAAATTATGAGCTTTTTGAGGATCGATATAAATCAAGGATTCTCTCATTCCAATTTTTTATAATTATGAAAAAAGTTAGTATCCATAAAGTTAAATTCTACTTATTAGCTAAGGTGCTTTTTTTCTTTGCGCTTTTGCCTTGCCTCTATCTTCTTCTGCAGATTTAGTGGAGTGTCAAACCTTAGGCGGATTGCAAGGGGATCATCTTCTGGTCTAGTGAGATCAAATACAATAAATTCACCTCTTCGAAGGTAGCTATTAATAACCATAGATGCATTTTTCACATCATCAGTATAGCGTCTAATAATTTTGGAGACGTCTTTACTAAAAACTCTATGTTATCATTACATCTGATCAGTAGATATGTGTGACAAATCACTTAAAGCGTCAATCAATGATGTTGTACCCTGTAACACTTTCCCCAACGATGCCACCAAAATTGAGAAAAAAGAAAAAATCTCCAACAGGTATGTGGATGAATTGCGAGCATTATTTGTAGTTATCCCATTCACTTAGCAAAAAATAGCTCCCAAGGAGGACATCAATGTTGGCACATCTTCAAAGGGTATAGAAAAACCCGAAAAAATAGTATCGCCTTTTCCAAGGGAACCGTTTACAGGTAAAGTGAGCGTATTACAAATATTTTTTGTGAAGCAACTCATTTTTATCAACAAAATAGTTTCTATGGAGGGTGTTGAGTCCACCGAAATTGCCCCATCTACGAAAGACAGAGAGGTTACTTCAACCACACCAAGCGTCGAGGAAATCAAGAAGTGGAAGCGAGCCGATGTTATAAATTTTTACAAGAGAAGAAAGAAGATCTAGACATCGATGATAAGCACATTCAAGTTATCAGAGACCAAGAGATCACTGGTCAAGCTTTCCTCCGTTTAACTGAAGAAAAACTTATGCAAGATGTTTTATGTCGTGGACTAGCAGAATCGATCGCATCTTTGGTTGAAACTCTTAAAGGCGGAGAAGGTAAGTAATAAGCAAATAATACCCTGTTGATTGTTGTAATAAACTTGGAAGTGTAAAAAATTATCCCAGCGGAAATGCTTATATTTGAGATAATTCTTACTTTTTATTTTATAAGTAACACTAAAGCGTAAATATGAGAAATCACCAGAAGTCTTAACTGAGATTGTAGAAAGAGCTGTAGAAAAATCAGTGCATAAAGAATTTTCTCAGCAAATACCTAATAAAATATCAGTATCAAGCCTTTCCCAATTAGGGATGAGAAAAATTATTGATGATGTTGGATTAAAGATTATAGTAGTAAGTACCCTATTTCTGATATTATTTAGAGTGTTTCTTATCGCTTATCACTTATCCATTATCTAGTTCATAGATGAAGATTTCCAACCAATTGAAACTATATCATATAATCCGTTCAGGTGGGATGTGAATAGGGCGGAAGATCAATAGATGAATGATGTTGAAAAATGGTTTAAAAATGCACTAAAATTACCAAGGGGTTTCCATATAGCGGATATCCATACGCAAAAGAACTATCAACGACATTTGCGAGAAGCCAACATCACTTTAACAGGTGGTGGAGATATTTCTATTAGACCAAGTGAAACAGCATGTATCTGGATCGAAACTAAGAAAAAAGCGAAGGATTTTAGTGAGGATCAGGCCATAGGAGAGTTATTCTTAATAGATAAACTCCATCCTATAAGAGCAATGACTGTCTTGACGGATTGCAATAACTATTGAAACATTTACTTCTTCCTGACGATGAAAGATGAAAAATAATGCATAGTAACATGCAATATTAGTGATCATGGTGTTGCCTTGGCGATAATTAAAGGGTTTGTACTTGAAGAAAGGATGTTTCTTAATGAATTGATAGGAAAAGACGTCACTTATGAAGTAAAATTGCCTGAACCTCTTAAAAAGAAAGTGAAGTTTCTTGAATGTATATTTGAAGTAGATAATGAGGACAGGATAGCAGATATGGTTGGTGACATGTCGGAGCAGAAATTATTTAACATGACAGTTTGTAAAAGATTAATGTTGGTAAGAGATTTTTGTAGACTGGATGAACAGCCACAAGTGGAGCAACTTATTAACCAGTTTAGTGATAATTATGAAAACCCAGCATCAATGATGTTCACATAATGCAAATATTTTTAAATAGTAACAGATGGTATTAAGCGTTTTTATCACGCAAATTTACATTGTATTCTTGTAATGGTCTTTTAGCCAAAATGGTAACAAAAAAATAATAAAGTTATATCCATTATTTTCACTAAGTCCTCTACTTAACAATATTTTTTGGATTTGTGAAGTCGCGCTAATCAGATCTGCCTTCAGCCGAAATATTAGGGCTGTTAGATATTTTGATTTCATTACTAATCTTTACAGAGGGTAATCAAAGATAAGTATAAAGGATCTATTGATCTTTATTGTATAACGTTTTTGCAAATACGTATTAATGATGTTTTTCTAGTCTTTTCTTTACAGGGTCCATAATTCGAAAAAATTACGTAGGACCACCTTACATGACCAAATTCGATTCTTGTACAGGTGCAAATCGTGGTAAGTAATCCCTTTTATTCACTTTGCACAAGTAAACAAAAAATCAACGAAATCACTAATCAATAGATATACTTCAATTAATCGAACGAGGAAAAACAAAAATAAGGTATGTTGGAGGTGCTTTTACTACTTCAATTTTTCTTAATATACTCTTCCGGCTTCGTAGATGACTATAATCAAATTTCGGAGGTTCTTGATATTCGCTGAGAAAATCTTTGAATATCTAACGTGCCTTTAAAATTAGCAAAATCGAGTATCACCTGATTCCTAAAATCATGTATCGTATTTGGCGTGTCAGATTAACGAAGTTTGGATATAATACAAAAATCAAAACTTAATTTCCTCAAACTGATCTCGATACTGAAGTAGGGAGGAATAGCTTGATCTTGATACATAAAGGTAAGGTTTCGGAGAGGGTGTCATTTATACAAACCAGGCTTTTTTCTCCACCCTGAAATCGAAATCCTAGATATGGCTCCACTTAATAATTTTTCTTAGGGCTTTTGGAAGAATACCACAGGCGAGAATAATTGGATAGGTAGAATAGGAGGAAAAATTGGTCTTCTGAAGGTAATTTCTTTCAAAAATCAAACGGAGAGAAACCATAGTGTATTTTTTTTCAGAAATATAGTATATAGAGAAAATGTAGATAGAAAAAATAGCAGTATCATTAGTAGATCTAGCAGGCCTAAAGAATAGGGATGCACTTTTCCAGAGAAATTCCTGGATCCAATGCATTATGTTTCCTCCCATGCAAGCCCGCGAATATATTTTATTTTATATCTTTCTAGTAATGGCTGATGTCTATAATATAATAAATTTGTCCATCTGGGCTTTAATTTTTAACTTGTATAAAATTATAGTTGAAAAAATAATAGTGAATCGTAAAAGCATTTAAAGTTTTAAGTTTATTCAATGAGACCCAATTCTCGAAGATGCTCTGGAATAACTATATATAGATCTTCATAGTACCAAATATACCTCAAGGCAATCTGATTCTCTTCACACAATTCTTTCTTGAGTTGATCTCGTGCTTGCTGTTTGATAAAATTATTGGGATCGCCATTATGAAAGAACTTATTAAATTTTTCATGTTGTTCACCTTGCACTTCAATCGCAAAACTATATTCTGAGTAATATATATCAAGTTCTAATCCTTTAGGGTGTTC